TTTAATTATGGATTAATTAATTAATCAATTTAATTGATTAATTGATTAACTTAATAACTATTTTTTGTTATTATTATTGTATAAAAGACAGGCAGTTAGAGTTGAATTGATAAAAAAGAAAAAAAAGAATAAGATTGTATCATTTAGATATATCCCTAAACTTAATATGTATTATGATCCTATAAAAAAGGAAAAGAAAGAGGTCGAAAAAAAAGGTATTTGTGATATTTAATAATAATAAGAACAGTTATTAATTTCTTTCACTCACAATATAAATTAAATTATTAAAGGAACTGCTAAGTGGGATACAAGAATAGAAGAGGTAGAAAGAAGAACATTAGAAGTCAATTTACTGCCTCCTTTTCCTCCCAGTATAGTAAATGAATTGCGGAATCCTAAAAAACCTTGGAGATATGGTTATCTATTCAAAAATCGTCCTTTCATCTGATTAAGGGTAAATGTAGTCATGTGATTTATATTTAAAAATAATCTATAATCATATTATGTTACAAAAATAAACCAATTAAATCATTATATGTTTCATTGCTCTTTTTTAGTAATAATCAATTGTGATAGAATTTTTTACGTGTAATGTAAATATTTTTTTTTTTTTAAAAAAACACTAAAATGACGAAAAATAAATTCTTTTCTTCTTTTTTTTTGTAAAAAAAAAAAAAAAATTCGGACTCCAAAAATTTCTTCCAAAATGATAAATCGAGAATAAATTAATAAATTAATATATACATATATAATCAAATGTTGACTTCCTTTTTTCCGATCAACAATTATAATAATAACATTTCTTTGCCATGCGTATGGACATATTCAATAACGGATTGTCAACAAAACACACAATCGTCATCACTTCACATACTTTACTATATTTCAATTATAATATTATCAATATTATCAATACTCTCATTTGGTTTATTAATGTTTCGATTATGGTATAGGAATGGTTGTATATTTGATGATTGTTGTTTTTCACCATTGGAAGGGTTTTTGTTATGGATAATATTTTTTTGTTTTTGTATGCAACAAAATTTTTTATTGACTTCAAAAGGTTTTTTTAATTAATTAATTAATCAGTTTTATTTTTATCTTAAAAGTTAGAATATTTTCAAATGTTGTTCAATTATTTGACCTCTTCAAGTTAAATTATATTCTACGAAACATATTATTTACATCCGGTTATGTATCAATCCAGATTGCAACAATTGGTTATATTGGAGGAATGTGAGTGAAGTTATGGTTTTTGTAAATTAACACGATTAACACGCACGCATATTTATTTTACATTGTGCTAATTTTATTTTTTTTCTTTTGAAGATTTAAAACTTTACCAAAAATGCATTTTTATCTACCAAACTCAACGAAAACCTTAAGGCTTCCAAATTCAAACCAAATCAAATGTTATTATTGGATTGTAATCATATTCCAATTTTTTTCAATAGAATTGGCTGCTGTATATGAAGGTTTATCACGGATCAGAAATGATGAAATTGGAGTTACAATTGCTTATGGATTACATTGGTAAACTAGTTATCTATTTTTTAAGAATTCTTTTTGATTGAATTGTCTTGTTGATTAATTTACCATTGCTTTCCTTTTCTTTTTCAAATTAAAGGTCTTGTTATGGAATATTACATGCCTTAATTACAGTTACTTTATTTTATTATGGTTCAACATTAATTAAAATGACGCAAAAAAGCTTTATACTATCAGGTGTTATACCTGACGGAAGTCGAGAAAACAATGTACAATTACGTTTCTTTGGCGCTAGTAATGAAAATTCTGATCCGAGCGAAATTACTATGAAACATTTAAAATTAATAAAAAATCTTCGAAAAGTAAATTTTTGTTATTACCTTTATTATTATTTGAGTTTCATTAATTTAATATAAAATTATTTTAAAATAGATGCGTATCTTTAGTTATACCTTAACGGGTTGCTTCTTCATGTGCACAATTTCTTTATTTGCAATGGCAGTAATGGGTTATAAACTATTTGAGATCACTCTATTATCTCAATTATATTATGCTCTTTGTAGTATAGGGGTTCCTTTGGCTTGTATCGGTATAAATTTTTGCATTATACAAGCGTAAGTAATATTTATTTTTTCATGCTAAATACATTTAAAATTTTTTCCGTGAATCTAAAATCCATTTCTTTATTTATAGAGAAATCCATCCATCTGGTTTGATAGATACAATAGCAGACTTATCTAGTTACTACCATAGTCAATCTGAATCTAATAGTAGTGAAAATCCTTTGTAAATATTATACAACAAAAATATTCCTAAAATTACATTAAAAAATTTAATCAAATATATAAGGAGATATATGAAAAACTGGTTTTTTACATATAGTAGATAATAATTCATTGGCAACTTTCACGGTACCTTTCATTACAATACCGTTATAATAAGTTTAATTTAATAAATAAATGCAATGATTGTAATAAATTGACAGATTACTTGGTTGAAATAGAGGTCTTAAATATATCATTTTGACATTTTTGTATTCTTCATCTTTATTAGTAATAATTTCTTTTTCTTGTTCTTTAGTCATTACTGTCACAATAACTTCTTTAAAACACCATTCTATTTGGAAAATTATCTTCTTTACTATAAAGTTTATGCGTAGCAACACTTTCAACTTCTTTCGAAAGAGTTTGTTCAGATAAGTCAACACGCATCTTGATCCATGGTGTTAACCAGACATGTCGTTTAGTGAGTTTTGTTGCCTTAGCTGTTGCATGATTACTTGTATAATTATAAACTCCTTCAATGTGCTTCCAACTAACTTCTTTCCTTCATGCATAATTTCACATGCATTTCTTTTACTAATTTGCCCTGTATGACTCTTTGATAGATTATTTAGAAGCTTTTTAAAAACATGAGTTAATTAGATTGTTTGTTTTGTACCATCGATGTCATACACCTACCTTCTATGCTTTAGCTGCTCGTTTGTGAGACTCGTTAAATGGTGTGTTGAACTTGTTCTACTCTTAAAATGGTAACTTTTTAATATACTGTATATTTATTATAAAAAGACAGAAAAAATAAATCTAATAATTCATTCTATTGAATATTGTTATTAATTGATGGCATTCCACAAATTATCTGTTAAAACATTTCTTTGAACATAAAAAAACAAAAAAAAATAACAACAGTCCTTTGATATTAAGGGAGATCAAAAACACATACTAATACTAATATTAATACCACCTGAAATCATTATAGTAATTAATTATCAACAAGTGCTAAAAATCGTGTTATATACCAAAGTAACTGATTTCAAATATTTTATTAATATTAATAGTGTTGGCAAAAAAAAAAAATTTTTTTCTTTTAATTTTAATATTCCATTAGTAAACATGCCTGATTTAATAATAACTTTACAATCTAGTGATTTCCAGTGTTGGCTTATAGCACATTATCAAAAACACTTCTTTAGCCAGTTTTAAAAAAAAATTTTTAATAATAATTTATTATATAAACAATTATTTATTGCTTGATCAATTCAATTTTACTTGCCAGAGGTTCAAACATGTGTTGCTCCAATTTAATGATCCATTAAACAACCAATAGGTCTGGTAACAAGCACACATGCAAATATAAAATTATCATTTTCTTTACGTCAACTTTGATCATGAAATCTAATTAATTGGTTCTGTCCGATTGAAATATATTATTATTATTTATATACAACAAAAATTATAAACTACCCTAATTTTAAAATTTGAATTTGAAACGGGCACTAATTCCGGTTTTTCACTAATTTATATACTTCTAATTCTTCTATCGCATGAACATTTTTATTATTATTTATAAGTTCTAAATCATCTTCGTAATTACCATAAGGACGATAATAATAATCACAATAAGGTCCATTACAAAAATCGTTAGATAATGCTAAATCGTAAAAATTTACAATAGTTCTATCAAAGCCTAAATTAGCGAAATGAGGAATTAAATGAGGAATTGCACATTTAGGATTTTTGACTCTACTTAGTATTGAATTATCTATTTGACTTTTATCAATTTTGAAAATAAAACTTCTGTCAGTTTTAATCCAATATCTTTCATCTAATGGCTTTCCTTTAATATTCCAACCAACTGGATTATAGCCACCAACTAATTCTCCTGTTTCTTTAATTCTCATTATAACCACAGTTTGTTCTATATTATCACATTTCTCCCTAAAAACAGATGTAGAAAACCCATCTTGAGATCCACGTAGAATTAATTTATATACATAAGGTAAATTATTTTGATCATATGTTTTTCCATCAATCCAACTAGCAATTAAACATTCCATTTTCAAATTTAATGATTTTCCAGTTCCTCTTCTTGGCTGCCATTTATCACCAAGATAATATTGAAGAATTTCTTCATATATTTTTCTATCAAAAACATCTTTATAAGGTATAATCTTTTCATAAAAATCATTTGATGAAATTTGATTAAATCTTATTAATGGAAGAATATCTTTTATTAAATTTTTTAACTTGATGAAATATCTTTTTTTCCATGCCAAAAAATTTCTTTTTTCCAACTTTTTATCCTGGCTTATTCCCCACTGAATGACAAAATCCCAAATATCAATTTCATCTAATTCTAAATTATCTTTTTCTAATATAGACATAACCATGGGTTTTTCAATATATTTAAAATCCTCAGATTTTAAAAACATGTCAGGATCATCAGTAATCAATTTCTTAAAATAATCTTGAAGTAAATTAAATGATTGATGTTTCAATGAAATATTACAAGTGTAATTTAAATTCTGTTGTAACCATTCTTTTTTTTCAATAATTAAATAATTTTGCAAGTCCTCAATTAATTCATCAATATTTAATTCATCACATGCTTCAAGAAGTTCAAAAATTTCATCTGGGTTCAAGTTATCTGGATTAACAATTCCATTGTAAATATATCTTTTAACAATGATAAAATAATATTTATTTTAGATATTTAAATAATTATGTTTATTTAATTTATAGTCAAATTGAAAAATAATTCTTACATTAAAATAGCTTCAAATACTTTTGGAGAAATATTTTTTTTTTCAAATAAAATAATACCATTTTTAGATTTTTTTATCCAATTATTAGAAAAAGCAGCCTTAAAATATGTAGATCTCGCTTTTAAAATTGTAGAATGAGCTTTGAAAGTTTCAACATTCTGGTCCCCTCCAACTTTGATTTCTACATCATATAAATCAGGTTCATTTAATAATTTTGATAAATCATTTACAAGCTTACTGATATAATGTAGTTGTAAGGGATTGATATCTTTCTTGGAATCCATACATGAGTCCAATAAGTCCAAGTTTTCTAAGAGTGGAAAAATATTTGCCATTTTGAATGGATATTTTTATTTCTAAATAGCAAAAAATTTTTTTTAAAAAAAAACACATTAATTAATATTAATATAAATTTTCCACTCGCGGATCATTTAAAAGTAAGTCCGCCTATTACTATTACTATATCAAGTATAATGACGGGTCCCTGCGGGATTTGATTATTTTAAAATGTTACTATTTATTACACGAGAAATTTATTTATCACTATTATTTTCTCGACGACGTATTGTAATGCAAAATTTTTAAATCATTTACAATAGGATCAGGAAAGGAATGCGATCGCCAACACTATGTTTCGAAAGTACTTTTAAAAAAATTGTGTTTGCCTTACAATAGATTCGCATTAATAGAAAATGGAAAAGGTCTCCTCCTACTCCGCCCTTTATAATAATAATTCGCAAATATAGTAATAATAATAATTCTTATTATTTAATAAAAAAATTTACCTTTATTATATATATATACCAAAAAAAAAAAAAAACGAATAGTGATAATAAGAACTTGTCAATATTTCTGATGTTCACCCATTTTTGAATGGATTTTCATTTGCGTATTCTAATAAAATCCTGTGTTTGGTAAAAAGTAATCACGTTTTATGAGAAATGTGGGCAAGGGTAGAAAAGCCAGAATGATTTTTAGATCATTTATCATATATTTCTATTAAAGTTTGTATTCTAGTATCACAATGGTATTTTTCATATGAAAATTTGGCAGGAGGAAGTATTACAATTCATATTACACCACGAAAAGTAGTTTTTTTGGGAATACATTAATGACATTAATCCTTGCTTGATCACAGTAGATGATGAAATAGTAATCGTTTTAGTATAATGATGTATGACGAAACTTTTGACTTTAGTCATCAACGTAACTAAAGTACTGACTAAAGGTAGTTTTCACCAGGGTCATTTTGACGATTTGACTAAAGTAAAAAGCCCTTGACGTAACTAGAAACAATTGTCGTAATTAAAAACACTTGACGTTACAAGGAAAAACACTTGATACAAGTAGAAACAATGATAATGATAAAATAGGATGTAAAAATGTGTGTATCGGGGATGAATAAGAGTTATTATATTAATATCATTGTATGTATATTGCAATGATGCAAGAAGGAGAAGGTTTACAAATGTTATAATTTGAATTAGAAAATTTACTTAATTAAACTGCTTTTTTTTTTGTATATTTTCTTTCAAAATAAAATGCCTCTTCTTTTTTACAAATTAAAACCATTCTTTTATTATTACATTTCATAAAATGTAAAAAATCAAATTGTCTTTAGATACATATGAGTTGTGTTAAATCGACTTTAAATCGGCTTTGAAGTTAATATTAACTACACGTAATAGTAATACGCAATAATATTAATATGTTTTTGTTGTTTGAGTTTGAAGCAGGTTCATCAGGAAACTTTTGAGCATAAGGAATCCCTTAAAATGCTGTAGAATCCTAAAGGATCCCTATTAATAAAAATTTGGGGGAATCCTCTAGGATCCTTAAGCTCAAAAGTTTCCTGATGTTTATCAATCAATATTGGCACTTTACATAGCACATAAGACAGGCTTTGGTACATGCTTTCTATTTTTATCACTTTTAAATCTTCAAAGAATTTCTTTTATTGTTGAATCACGATAAGTCAATCACTAGAGTTTGGTGATGTTCTTTAAATAATGCAATTTTCGTTTTTCCAAAAAAATGTTGTATATACGAAAAATTTGTTTGTTACACGTCATTTAAAGAAAAAGGAAACAATGTAACCGTTCTTCTCCACATTCATTAAAAACAAGTCAAAGTTTTCTTTATATAATGTCATATAATAAATTGTTATCTCAAGAAAGAAAGCAATTTGTATATAAAATTTATAATGAAGTGTATAATGATACTAATGTTAATTCTGATGAAGAAAGTATAAAAGATTATTATTTTTCATTAGTCAAGAAAAACAAGGAGCTTTCTGAAAATGAAAAAGAATATTGTAAGGAAGCATTTATTTATAGTTTTGAATTGCAGAATGCAAAAGATAAATTAGGCAAACCAAAAAAATGTAACAAGTGTAAATTGACAAAATACTCTGATAGGTTCTGTGAAGGTTGTATCAGTTTACAATTACAGAGTCTTTTCACCACTTGGACATCTGGAAATAACATAATTGATAACTTTATTCAACAATGTCAAATGAAATCATCTCTGCCAACTCATATATTAGAATGGATACCTTTTGAGCAATTTAAAAAAGTGACAAAGTTGACAGAAGGTGGATTTAGTTTGATTTTTACTGCCACATGGACAAGAGGAACTATTGTTGATTATGACGAAAATAAAAAGGAATTTAGTTATTTAGGAGCACATTATGTAGTATTAAAAAGTCTAAATGATTCAAGTAATCCAGGAAAAGGCTTTTTTGATGAGGTTGGTAGTTGTCATTTGGACAAATAAACAATACTGTATTATATAATACTAATTGATTTTATATTTATTTCAGGCAATAAATTATTGTAAAATTAAATCGGGTTTGATTGTTGATTGCTATGGTATAACTAAATTTCCAGATAATGGAAATTATGCAATAGTTTTAGTTTATGCTCAAGAGGGAAATTTAAGGGATTATTTGCAAACAAGTCATTTAACATTAAAAGATAGAATTTCAATACTTGGTTCTTTGTGTTATGCATTAGATACTATACATGAAAGAGATTTAATCCATTGTGATTTACATAGTGGCAATCTATTATTGCAAGGAGGTGGTTGTTATATTACAGATTTAGGATTATGTGGGCCAGTTGATGAAAAGTCATCAAATAAGGTCTATGGAATTGTATCATATCTTGCACCCGAGCTACTTAGAGGCAAAAAGAACACCAAAGAATCTGATGTCTATAGTGTTGGGATGTTAATGTGGGAAATACTTGCAGGTCACCCACCATTTGATGATAGATCTCACAATCATTGTTTGATTTTTGATATATGTGAAGGTTTACGACCACCAATATTACCTGAAATGCCTGATGACTATGTGCAAATGATGCAGAGGTGTTGGGATGTGGATTCATCAAAAAGACCAATTAGCAGAGAGCTGCTTGATTTTGCTGAAAACAAACTTGAAGAAATTATTAAGAATAATAATAGCAATAATAGTTTAATAAAAAGATTTTTCAAATTTTTTAATAATGATGGTAACAGCAGCAGCAGCAGCAGTGATGGTGATGGTGGTGGTGCTTCGCAACAAGTATACAAATCACATCCAGATGCATGTCATACAAGCAGAATCTTAGATGAAGAGATTGCTAAATCTAAAAGCTTAAAAATTTATACAAGTAATGGTAGTTCGTTAAATAACCTTGATGTTAACTCTTTTCTCTAGAATATTAACAAAGGTGAATAAAAATTTCATTATTAATTAATTGGAAATTACTATCCATTAATTATTACTAACAATATTAATTAATTAAATTCTAGTAACAATAGAATTGATGAATGACTAATTTAATCACCACTATAAATTTATTATTATATTATTTCTTAAAGCTAAATTATTTTGAAATAATAAACTTTTCACAGTTTTTTGACTTTTTAAATTATGATATTATTTCAGTAAATACTGGTTATTTAACAAATATGGCTGATTTATGGCTTAACTTTTGGCTACGCTTGTCAGTTCATTGCAATAATTCGATGCTTGTCAATTAATTAGTTTACGAATTTACTTTGGTTCCCTCTTTTTTGCACTTGGACGAATCTGTGAGCACATTTAATGGTACCAGATAACTGTAAATAAATAAAGATGGCCCTTTACAAAGCTCAAGGCTTCGATTTATTTCAATCATTCACCATTGTTTACATTAACTGGCCGATTACAAACTCGCTCTGGTTTACTTGTAAGCAGCTTGTTTAATAGCCTTACGTTTACGATTACAATAATACTACCGGTATTTCCGATTATTCTTTTGACGATACTTCATTAACACTCACTAGTTAACGAATGTTAGTCGTAACATTTACTTACTCATTAAAGCAAATTACGTTACCTAATCAATCAATATTGTCATTATAAAAAGCTTTTGCGTAAAATTTTCATTTGATAATAATTATATATACACTAATACTAAAATTAGTTGACCTGGAACATAAAATACCGAATCCCCAATCGATTATTATTATTTATCTACCCCGATCATGGATCACATTATCAATATTCGAACACAATGCATTCTAACGGCAAATTGATGAATTTTCATCACCATCTAAAAATACGAGAGAAATGTTTGAAGATATTGTTCATGAATGCAGAGTAGGAAAATTTATAAATATGAAAACTCTTCAACATTAACCTTTTATTTAATCCATTGTTTTGAATTGTGATGAACTTGAATTTGTTACCCAAGAAATTATTGAAAATGAAAAAATGTTAGGAATTCCAATCAAATAAAAATTTAATGCGCGATCTATATGCATTAAATGAATAAAGACTTAGAAAATTTTCTGATGTATGAATATTTTGATTTTGTAAGGTGTTATATTCCCAGTCCAATCTGAGAGGTTAAGGAATTCATTGAAGGAATTTTTCACATTATGTTACATTGTAACTATTTTTAATATAAATTGATTTTGTAATTTTATGAAAAATTTTATCAAAGTATTGGATACTAAGTCACAAACCATTAGATATATATTAGGAAATTGGGGATATGAATATGTATGTAGTCGTAAAACTGCAATCTATAACCATGATGAGTTATTCACCTATTGGAAGCATGCACGTCAACAGCTTCCATCTCAGTTCTTTCAAAGATTCACAGTTGGGTTTTATCTCAATGGGTGACAATGATGGACATAAAGGGCTAGATTGGAAGCCTTTTACTATATCAGGGAATTTTTTCTGATGCGAATTTACACCATTACTACTTGTGTAAATTTACATCGGATCCCATAACATTATGCAAAAAATCATGCAATTATTATATTAGGTGTAAATTTTTATGCAAACATTACATATTAAAACTTGCATGTGTAATATTATGGCGGGGAAATTTCCTGTGTATGCAATAGCCACAACCTGGAATTTTTACCGGACTCGAGTTTTAAGTACACAATCACAACGTTCTAAAAGAAATTTCCAAGATTTACACCATTTTTAGAAACTATTTTTATCTTAACAAATTACAATTGATTATTTTTTTATAGCTTGGGAATAAAAGAGACATCTGAAAATAAATCAAGCCATTGCAAAAATATGTCTCGGTTATACTGAAGCCCAAATTGTTTTGCTGATGTCAAAAAACACACTATTAAAATCATTGAATTATGACACTTTGGGTTTCATGTATAGTTTTAGTAATGTACCTTCTTCCTCAAAAGATATAACAGATTTTAACAATAGGAATGCTAAAGCATTTAATCTTTGAGAAAACACTCATTACACAAATCTAAGGGAGTTGGATTCTCCAATTTAGACATAATGAAAGTCGGTTAATTTAACTGTTTTGGTTTTTCTCATACTTGTGTTCATTATGCGGTCGATGAAGATCATACTAAATTCCTACACTACCTTTTGAAGTTAGAAAGTCCTTTTTTTCTTTAGAAACTATTTACATTACAAAATCATGCATATATTCAAGGACTTACTTCTTTGAATAATTATTTTAATGATAATAAACTTGAGGAGCTAATCCGTCCGTAAAATAATAATAATTAACTGAGAAGTAAATTGTCTAATCGACTGGGACTCTGAGTCACCGAGTTCTTTTAAATTATCAAATTAGTATTATTACTATTACAGATATCGGTTATTTTAGGAGAATATATCCGTTTAAAATTAGTCAAACTTTATTATTATACGGATATTTTAAAAAGGTATCCGTTTACCAAAATTCTATTCGGATATCATAAGGATTTTACAATCCGGTTCCAAGCTCTAATGTCAGATGAATTGTTTTTATTATTTGACTAATATGTAGAAAAATAGATAACAAGAAAGAAAAACACTAGAGTAAAGAAACCAAAGCCGTTGATGATTATTTGGCCATTATGTTGCAAATTTATACTATAATATCATTATTAATATAGATATTAAATATTCTCTTTGCCTCTTCATTATCTTCCTAGCTCTATTGAATTAATTATTGATTAATATGGGATTTTTTGATTGTAAAGACATTTGCATTTTGAAAAATTGTTTTTTTAAATGTGTTAAATGGCTTTGTTTATCATAATGTTAATATGTCAATCAAAATTGTTATTGATTATTGTATTGTTTTCAATTCAAAACAAATAAACCTATTATAAAAAGGAACTTTATATTATAAAGAAAAAAAGATTTATTTAAATTAGGAATTTTGCCCTCCTCCGTATTTAATTATATACATATATACATATATTCCAATCTTTGTAATCTTGAACGTGTAACATTTATTTAGGGGTTGCAACAAGGGTATTGGTTTAATCATTGTTTAGTTCTTTAGGACATAATGTTTACATTTTATTACTATAGTGTATAATAAATAAAACTAGTTAGCGGAATTGGCACGGGTTAACCAAATTTGAAAGTAATGTAGATTTTGTTAAATGATTTCATATTTAAAAAATTTAAAAAAAGTTGAAAGAAGGTGGTTTTATGCATAGAGGTTTGAATAATCATGATGAAAAAAAAAATTTATATGTTATATTAATTATATTTTTATTTTTAGTATTTTTATAAGTTTTAATAAGCTTATATTTCATCCACTACCAATTAAGCAAAACTTAATTGAATGCAAATCTTGTGCTTTGTGAGAAATTAAAGTACTACCAACTATTACTATTACTGCTACTATCGTTATTACTATGACTGCTATTGCAAGAACCCCAAAAGACAAAATAATTTCGTCCAGCTCTAACGTTCAAAAGAAATTCAGATTTGCCGACGTAATTTTTATTGATAAAATAAAATTACATGGTCATTTTTTAAAAAATAAAATTATACGATTATTTTTAATTACACGATTATTTATAAAAAAAATAAAAAATCATAACATATTTATGGTTTAATTAAAAAAAATCTTATTTATATAACCTTAATGCTTAATGGAAACATAAATCTTAATGAAATCATATTTATAAAGGAAAAAAATTATATTATTATTATTATTATTATTATTATCGTTATTATTATCGTTATTATTGTCGTTATTATTATATAAATTCATTGCTTGAAAAAAAAAAAAAACGAAATAAAAATTTAGAAGAAAAAAAAAATAATTAAACGTTATTCATGTCGATTTTTATCAACAAAATAATCATCGTGATAACAATATCCCTTTTCTTCATCAAACTTTGGCATCTCATCGAAATCAAAATTAACATTTTCGATATTAAGTGCTGTGGAATTTGCGGAAAATTGGTCGTGTTGGGGATAATAGGGATAATATGGGTGTTGTGGATTAAGGTAATGGTAATTATCAGTGGTTGTTGTATCCATAATTGTGGAGGCAATAGAAATCGGATTGGAAGTGACGAAATTATCGATGCTTGGTTGATCAAGCACATTAGAGTCGTTTGTTGCGGTTGCGTTGTCAACTCTTAATTGATGTAAAATAGTTGCTAATTCTAAGTCAGGGTCGACGTCACCAACATTATTGTCAATGTCGATTAATGATTGACAAAAGTTTTGTTGGTGGTATTGCTGACCATAATTGTATGGGTCAACATTAAGATTAAACAAATCGAGAGAGTTGATTGCAATATTATTATTGTTATAGTTGTTGCCGTTGCCGTCGTTGTCGTTGCCGTCGCTGCCGTTGCCGTCACTGCCATTTCCGTCGTTGTCGTTGCCGTCGTGGCCGTTGTTGTCGTCGTTGTTGTTGTCGTCGTTGTTGTTGTCGTCGTCGTTGTTGCTGTTGCAGTAGTAGTTGTTGTAATTGTTGTTGTCGTCGTTGTTGCTATTGTAGTAGTAGTTGTTGTAGTAGTTGTTGTTGTTGTCGTCGTCGTCATTGTTGCTGTTATTGTAGTAGTTGTAGTTGTAGTTGTAGTTGTAGTTGTTGTCGCTGTTGTAGTTGTTGTTGTTGTTGTTGTCGTTGTAGTTATTTTTGTTGTCGTTGTTATTGTTATTGTTATTGTTATTGTTATTGTTATTGTTATTGTTATTGTTTCTGTTGTCGTTCTTATTATTGTTGTAGCAGCTACGGGTGTAGTATTTGTAGTTGTTGTAGCGTTTGTAGTTGTTGTAGTAATTGTAGTTTTTGTAATTGATATTATCGTTATTACTTGGAGGCGTACGAAGAGACAATAATCTTTTAGAGGGAGATTCAACCATCTCCGGATAAGATGGTACAAGAAGCATTTGTGGCATCGAAGCGGAGCCAGACCATGGGGGTGACGAGGTATTTGAACTAGGAGAAGAAGATGGAGAAGTGGATGATGATGATGATGATGATGACGATAACGATGATACTACGGCCGACAATGCTGCTTCTGCTTCTGTTGCTGCTGGAATTGAAAACCCCAATAAGGAAGTCTCTCTTTCGACCAAGACTTCAAAGTTGGGGGTGAATACTGAATATTTAGGTTGTTCGGTTGATGAGTCTGATTCACCATCACAATTGTAATTAATACAATTGATATCGTTAACGCTGTCGTAAGTGATTGTTTGATTCTCATTGTCGGTGCTATTGTTAGCATTAGCATTAGCATTATCATTTTTACAATAATGCTCGTACAAATCTCTATATACCAAAAATCCAACTTTCGACAAGATAATGAAAAAATTTCTCCGCTCAGTAGATTCAGATTTCCATCTCAATGATGCGATTTGGGAAACTTCTCTTAGGGTGTGTTTTTCGTTGTTATTTTTGAGTTCCGCGAGGATCTCTTTTCGATATAGAATAAATTCGTTTTGAGGTCTACCGATTTTATTAGCATTTCTTTTTGGAGCAAGAAGATCCTTTATTGACAAGTAGGTACATACTCTGTTTTCAACGAAAGTCGTCATTGAATTTAAATGCTTATTGATCAATTGATCAATGATCTGATCATGATCATCGTGGTTTATGTTAATAGTTTGGGGGAAAATGTATTTTTTGATACTTTTTTTTTCTTTTTTTTGGGGAGGCATTTTTTTAAATATAAGTCTAAAAAAAAATAATAATTATAAAAAATAAAAAATATCCGCGAATATAAAAAGATTTTATAAATATATATTGAAGCTTATAAAAATTAACAACTATGAAAGAATTCTGGATTTTTTGTTGAGGCGAATTCACCTTTATTTATAATGAATTTTTTTTATTGAAAGAATTTAAAGTGGAAAAACATTTATACCGAAAACAGATGTCTAAAGATTTAAAAGAATCTTAGTTATTTTAGTTATTCGGTGTTGGATACTTACATTCGTGACACTATTTTTTTAGATTCAATTTAACAAAAGGTAATGATCAACTGCCAAAAATAAAAAAATCAACCAATAAAAATCGATCACATGACATAACAGCGAATCGTTTTAAACTCCCCCTTGTATATGTTTCATACAGGTTACAGCTACACCCGGGACGTTTCTATAAAAAATATTTATAAATTTAGAACATGAATTAGATATTATAGTTACAATTCTAATTGCGAGTACAATTTGATGTATACAACTCTACAGAAGATTAATAAGCGACTGGATGATATTTTGACACATCACCAATTGCACAAGATTTTAAGAATTGAAAATAAAAAAAACCAAAACATTACAAACAACAAAAACTATGAACGAATAGACATCACCGATCTTTGATTAAATTTCTTTATCATCCCCGAAAGGATTCAATACGAGAAATTTATCGAAAGCACAGTTTTTCCTTGATGCAGGTTTATGTCACAAATGTCAGTTCATGTGGAGTAAATGTCATTTGTTTATTTATTTGACAGATCCATTCGTCCATTTATTCGTTCATTCATTTATCAATTTATCAATTTATCAATTTATCCATCCATTCATTCATTCACACATTCAAATAGACAAAATGAATAATAAATGGTTGATTCTCTTTTTTATCCGTATTTGTAGTAAAGCGCGTAAAAAAGTAAACTATTTACAAGTATTAATAAGTAATTGGTGCGCTGTCTTCCATTTTCTAATACTCCCGATATCCGTATTGGTAATAAAGTTTTCAAAAGATCTGTTCGCCTTAAAAGTTTATTGAACTAATGAATGGTGGTGTTGTGAGAATTGAATGTGAATGGTTCGCCAACTAATCATACGGCGATGTTAATCCCAATGGAATTTATTTGCAAACAAGAGAAACAAGAGAAACAAGAGAAAAAAAACAAATTGATTGTTTAATTGGTACAAACTATTGATTGTAACCTTATCATCATTAAATACGCGTGCACGGGAACATTGATCCATTATTGTATGTGTTTGAATTGCCCACTCCGTATATTAACATTATGCATTTAATTAAGCAAAATATCATAAAGGTCATGTAATTTCCACAAAAGTCACAAGAAATCACATATGCAAATTAAATAATCGCAATCAATACTCCAAACTTTCTTTGAATGTATGATAGAATCAAAGATTATTCATTCATTTATTTACTTTTTTTATTCATTAATTAACTAATTAATTTATTTTATTATTATTATTATTAATTGATTTTATTATTAATCGATTTATTATTTATTGATTTATTATTTATTGATATAATAAATAAAACCTAGTTTTCCAGATAGATGTGAATCGAAACGCCGTTTAGAAAAACAAAATTTATTAAAAAAAAAAAATGCATCTAAGATTCCATGATTTACCCCAAAAAATAACAAGTTCTGGGTTTATCTACATGTGTGTCGATTACATGAATGAATGAACACCTATATATTATACAATTCATGACAATAGCCGATCTGATTTGTACGACCAAAGCCGATAAATAAGGCGCTTATCAAAGATCTGCAATGTCCATTGTTTTCAGATTTGGACTCTATGTAAATTATAAACGGTCGTTTTATATTATTTTTTTTTTGTGAGAAGAATTTTCCAGGACAGTCGGCCGAACCCTTATTGTTTAATGATATGTGCATATCTAAATTTAATTGATTATTATCATCAACATCATCATTCATTATTTCTATCGTAATAAAGTGCGTGCGTTAGTTGATAACAATGGAAAAAAACTCCGAAATTAAATTCAAAGGAACGTTAAACAAAAATATTTTTCCTATTGGTAATTATTTTTAATTAAAATTATATGTCCGATTGGGATTGGGTATCTCTTTATACACTATTATAAGAAATTAAATGATAAAGAAGAAGAAGAAGAAGAATAAGAATAGATTATGAAAAAGAAAATTTATTTTATTGAAATCATCTTCATATTAATTTAATAATTATTGTTACAAAAGTTTTAATTTATGAAAAAAAAAAAAAAAAAAACAAAAAATCTTAAAAATCTTAAACTACAAGTTGAATATTAATTTGTTGGTTGGTTGTTTGGTAGATTAGTTGGTTGGTTTGATATTATTGACATATTTACTTTGTAAAAAAAAAAAAAAATCTTATTAACGACCAAAAAAACTTAGAAAATGTATAGACATAAATTATAAATTATATATTATGAAATATTTTTTTTTAATTATCTTTTTAATTTTTTTTTTTTAATTATGAATTTTAATCATTTTTTTTTTTTTTAATTATAAAATTTTAATCTTTTTAATTTTTTTAATTATAAATTCTTTGTTTTCTTTAATTTTTTTAATTATGAATTTATGAATTCCTTGTTCTCTTTAAATCCCTTCGTGAAGGAATTTTTGAACCTTGTTCGATGAAAGCTTTTGTTAACGGTGTTATTTCTAAACAAATTATAAATAATTGATTGATTATGTATAAATTCAAATAATAAAAATTATAAATTTAAATAATAAAAATTATAAAATTATAAAATAGTTACTTACCAACCATCCCTGGGAATTTTTTAGCAGTATACACAGTAAAAGGTTTTGAATTTGCAGTGGCAAGTATTCTGGATTGATTATCTGTTGTGTTAATTTTGCCTCGACTATTGATTGATAAAAACAATTGATTATTTATTTAATTAATCGATTGAATGTTATAATAGATATATATATGTATGTATGTATATATATACTTACAATCCAATATAAAAAAGTTGGAATTTTAAATAAAACATTCCATCTGTCCGAACACTTAAATCTCGATAAATAAACCAAATTCCTGGTTTATTATCTACATCACGCAAGACTCTTGCTTGCGCTATAGGAGTGCCAACCAAGTTGGCTGTAGCGCTAACTAGTGAAGGTGACGTTTTTAAACTGGCTTGAGAGGCTGGATGCACAACCAATGTTGCCTCTTTATCAGTTCCATACTCGTACAATACTGCTTGGCATACATAGAAAGCTGTGTCAACGTCTCTGTACACATGAAAAATTTGAATGTTATTAATATGAAAAAAAAAAAAAATCAAACATTATAATCAAATTTTACAATACTAACTCTATGTTGACGGGGCCTTTGTCTCCTTGGGTGATTACCAATTTAACAAATGGCAAAGGTGAAATTGGGCGACGATCCTAAAATTATATACGTACATACGTATATATCATTAATAATATTATTATTTATCATTGTAAAAAAAAAAAAAAAAAAAAAAAAGAAAAATTAAATTACTTTTTCACCAAAGCCGCACATTCTGGCTCTCTGGGGGTTCTGACCTACTTCTAACGAGTAGTTCCATTCTGGTATGCTTTTGAATTCAAGGAAATGAAAATTAAGAAAAGCTAAACGTTTGTGTTAAGATGTACGGTTTTTGGTTAATAGAGTCAAACTTTTGATAAAACCGTACATCTTAACGAATGTTTAATTTATTTCTTTTACCAGCGTCATTTACACTTACCCGTTGTACGTGTCTGCCAATCTTGAATGAATCAAACTGTGCGATGCATATTGATACAATTGGTTGAATACATCGTGCTCAGTTCTTCGTGGTGGAGTGGTCAAATTTGTGGAAACGGTAGATGTAGAAGTGACGGAGGTTGCGAGAGATGATAATGACGAGGAAGTGGAAGAATTAACTTTTCTGCTAGCCTTGTATTTGGGCCTAGATCTATCTTTATGAAAAGTATGAGTGCTATAATCAAATCTATACATTTGTCTTCTTCTTCCATTGGAGTTATAGCCTTGATCCTGACCCTCAATCTGATCATTGTTATTGATATCCCTGTCTGTATTGATGATGTTACAAAACTGGAGAGGTGAATATGAATTGTTGATGCTTGGTAAAGATAAAGACGAGACATCATCGACATTATTGTTAGAGAGGTGTGTGTGTGGATATGGGATGTTGGGCGGAGGTAAAGATAATGAAGATGATGCTAAAGGAACAACGGAAAAATTCGAGCCAGGATGTGGCATTTGTTGATTTTGGTCTTGATTGCTAACATCATTATTAACAGGATAATGATCATTGGTAGGATGACTGATAGGAAAAGGATTAGGATATGCGGCAGGATGATGTTGCTGATGTTGTTGATATTGTTGTTGTTGATATTGTTGTTGTTGATATTGTTGTTGTTGTTGCTGCTGTTGATGGTTAATGATATGTTGAATTTGTTGACGACCAATCACTTCTGTAATAAAAATGTTATTATCGGATGAATCAACATTATTATGAAAATTGTGAGTACCATTCCTACTGGACGAAGACATTTATAAAAACGAAGGTTCAAATTGTTTATGAAATAATAATATATTAAATAAAACTAAAATAAAAATTCTGTAATTATCAAGTTTTAAATTTTAAAGTCGCGGACTGGGTGAACTAGAGTAAGGAAAGAAAGAGAAGGAATGTTAGCAATATAGCGGTTAATTTATACGTGTTTGAATAAGGGAAAAGGATGTATTGATGTTTATTTAAATTATGATCGGAAATAGAATCAATCAATAGTGGAATTAATTTTTATGAAATTTAAAAGGTTATTTTTGATTTTGATTTGTGCGTTTTAAAAAAAACAAATAAATGACACTAGCAAGGCTATAATTATATTAATAATAATAATAATATTATTATTATTATTATTATTTATTATTATTTATTTATTTATTTATTATTATTAATTTTTTTATTTTTATTATTAATTTTATTTTTATTATTCCCAACTTTTTAAAGTGGATTTGGGTTTTTTTTTTTTTTTCATATAAGAAATCAATGTTATTTGTTTACCTATTTTACGAAAAAAAAAGACTTGTTATTTTTTTATATATATGCGCATTATAGCTATAATTAATTGGTTTGTTGTCGGTCCGTTAGTATTAATTGATTAGATGATGATAAAAATCATTTACACCCCAATAATACAAATTCTATTCTCAGTTTCAACATAAAATTAGAATTAATTTGATTGTTCGATATTAATTTACTCATTCAAAAAAATATGTGAAAACTTTAAAAATTTTTTTTGGTTTTTTCCGATACAAAAATAGTTTTATTTTGCTGCTGTTTAACTAAAAAAGACTTAATAATAACGAATTCTTTCTTTTTTCGTTCATTGTGGATAAAAAAGTTAAGATAGTGCAATTGATATGCACGTGTTTTGTGCTTTGTATGTATGACACTGTTCACAAATATTCAAAATATCCAAACACGGATTTTCTTTAAACCAATAGTTAACAAAACATAAAGATATATTGTAGACATATATATATTACAGACACCCTCGCTCAAAAGTATCACACACCATTAATATCATAATTAAGTTCGCACTCGCACGCGCACATGCGCATATGCACACTCGTACATGCACACCACAAACATGCATACCATCTGCATACAATTTTGAATGCAAATTTTTTAATTGTTTCTATTTACGACGATTTTTTTTTTTTTTTACTGGAAAATTAAACATAAAAAGACCCAAAAATATCAAGTTACACAAACACATTATACGCGATTGTTTAATTGCCGAAAATATAAAGTAAATATAATATATATATATATATATTTAAATTAAAATTAATAGAATTAAATCTCCGTATTTAGGAATCAATGTGAATAGAAGGTATGGATCTTATTCCGAATATGTTGTTGATTGAGTGAATGATAAGAAGATAAAGTAATACACCAAAAAAAAAAACAAACTAATTAAAAAACTTGAATTTTTTTTTCGTTTAAATATCATACATGGAATTATTAAATAAATTCAAATTAAATAAAAAAATAGTAAATAAATAATAAATATTTTTTTCTTTTTGGGAAAATAAAATAAATTAGTAAAGTACCAATCAGTAAAGCATTCACTCCTTTAAATTTTATTACTCCCCATTCATTTCCATATTCAATTCTATTTTTATCTTTACATAATATCTCATATATATATATATACAATCAATCTCAGAATCAAAAATCAGAATTCTATTATCAACGGTAAATATTTACACAGTAACAATAATAGTAACTACCACCACTGCACCATTTATGTATGAAGTCAGCGACACATCAACAACACATCAACAACACACCTGTACATACGCATGCAAACTCGCACACATACTAATTAGTCTATTCAACAAAAAAGTAAACCAACCCATTACTTAATCTGTCATACGCCAACCACCAAAATCTAATTTAATCACCGATAAAACTTTCTTCCTCCTGATAAAAAACTCCCCTTGCATCAATAATCCACGAATAAGCCTAGTTCTTATCAAAATCGCGCCTAGCATTAATCATTCTTTATTTGTTTAGATTGATTACCAATTAACTTTATGGCTTTGTTTTATGACTTACTTGCTGACTGATTAGTGTTATTGTTGTTTTGTTACTATTATATATTTCTAGTTATGATTGTTTATCTTCATATTAAGTTCCGGTGATCCGTTATGTATCATAAGGATTCGGTTAGCCGACTAATTTGGTTATTGGTTCATCACGCGTCTCATTATCAATTTGGTTGTTTTTTATTTTCTTGATTGATTCGGGAATTTTTAGTTGGTTGATTGATGCTTGCTTAATCGGTCATTTGATTTAATAGATAACAGTAATAACAAAATTTAAATTAGCGCTAACATTTCATTTGATTTATTGGTTAGCTGCTGAGTTAGTTAGTTGATGCTTTTGAAAAAAAAAAAACTGGATTCAAACATGTCATATTCTTTATTATTGTTACTATGAACGTTGATGTCCTTGTTGCTTGTTATTATTGTTGTTATTTACTAATTATTATTATTATTATTATTATTATTATTATTATTATTATTATTATTATTATTATTATTACTAATTATTATTACTATTATTATTATGACTATCATAAATATATTCCATTTGTATAAATCTACTACTACTTGAAAAACTTTTATCCATAAAATTAAATTTTTTTTCTTTTTACGCGCTTATCCATACCAAAGAAGAAGAATCTAGGTCTCTCTAATCAACAAAACAATCACAATCAATGTTTTTCATTTTATAATTGATTTATTGTTGAATTGTTGTTGATTGTGAAATCAATTTTATTATACATGTATTATTTACAAACATTAAACATTTCGAATGCTGGTTGGTGACGAATAAAGTTAATTGACAAGATTTTTTGACAATTCTTACATTGAATGGGAACATGATTTCCAAATTGAGATAAAATTAAAATCCCCAATTTTTATTTATTTTGTTACTATATCAACTGATATTATCTCATACTGTTATCTCCTCCCATATTGATATTATCATATCGTTGATGGATTGATATCATTCTGTTGTGTGAACCATGTCTATTTTGAACTCAATTAATAATTTATATATCCTTGGTTTTGTTTTTCTTTCTTCTTTTTTTTGGAGGGAGAATTGGCCTTTGTGTAATTTACTGTCTAAATCGGGTTTGGTACAACACAACTACTGAAATAATGGCACAATGGCATTTTTTAATTTAATCCAAATATGGGGTAAATAGTCCCGGGTTTCAGGTTCGCAACCAACCAATCAAACTCATAAATAAATAAACCCAATTTCATTTTCTAATGACAAATATTTTAAAGAAAGAAATCGTAGAGAAAGAAATTGTAGATGATACGTTATTCATTTAATTATATATAAATACAATCTATTTTCTTTTTTATTAATCTCTAACACAATTAATTATTCATAAAAAAATTTAAAAATTAAAAAAATTAAAAATAAAAAAATTAAAATTAAAAAATAGTCGATCTTTTCAACTTTCTATCAAGTCAATTGTTAAAAAACATGTTTTATATAACCACTTCAAATAGAGTTGAGGTCAAGGTCATTCATTCATTACTTTTCAAATCTTTTGACTTGATAATTTCATCGTCTAATATTCTACTTTTATGATATGCATTTGGATGTGATTTATATACTGGTTTTAACCTACCACCACCATCACCATTAAGGTCAACTTCATTTTTTTTCTTTTTGGAAAATTTAAATATTTTTTTAAATAATTTGTTGGAGTCTTTTTTATTGGCGGCAGCATTCAAATTGTTGGTTCTAGGATGTTCGCTCAATCTATCATTATTATTAACAAATTCTAAAAGATCTTGAATGTTCGGTCTTTTTGATGGATCCGCGTCCCAACATCTCTGCATCATCTCTGCATAATCACCGGGTGTTCCTGGTAATAATGGTGGTCGAATGCCTTCACAAACATCAAAAATTAAATGATAATTATGAGGTCTCTTATCAAACGGTGGGTAGCTGGCAAATATTTCCCACATTAACATTCCAACACTATAAATGTCCGACTCTTTTGTGTTCTTTGTATTCTTTTGGCCGTCAAGTAGCTCGGGCGCAAGGTATGGTATAATTCCATACGTTTTATTTGATAATTCTTCTTCAACTGGTCCGCATAATCCTAAATCTGCGATATAACAATTACCTCCCTCCATCAATACATTACCACTATGTAAATCACCATGAATTAAATCTTTATCATGTATTTGATATAATGCTCTACATAGATATTTAAAAATTGTAATTCTATTTTTTAATGTTAAAATCAAATGGTTTTTTTGCAAATAATTTCTTAGATTTCCTTCTGGCACATAATTTAAAACCATTGCATAATTTCCACTTTCTGGAAATTTGGTTATGCCATAACAAGGAACAATCATTATTGACCTGATTTTAGAATAACTCAACGCCTATAAATATGGATGTATGGATATATATATGTATGTGTGTATGTATGTATGTTGCAAGATTAACTTATTTATAATATTACTACCAACCTTTTCAAAAAATTGTTTCCCTGGACCACTTGAATTATTTAAAGATTTTAATGCTACGTATTGTGCTCCAACATATCTAAATTTCTCTTCTTCTTCATCGTAATCAACAATCCCGCCTCTTGTCCATGTGGCAGTATATACTGAACTAAATCCACCTTTTTTCAACATCTTTGCATCTTTAAATTGCTCGTAAGGTATCCACTCTAGAATCTGAGTTGGGATGGATGAATTTATTTGACACTGCCGAATAAAATTATCTACAATCTCACTTCCTGACGTCCAACTCTTAAAAAGACTTTGCAAGTGCAGTCTGATACACTTTTCACAAAATCTATCAGAGTATCTCGTTGATTTACATTTATTACATTCTCTTGATTTACCCGAATTTTGCAACGCAATACTCAACTCAAAATCATAAAGAAATTTTTCTTTGCAATATCGTTTCTCAGCTTCAGAAAGTTTTTTGTTTTTTTTTACTGATTGTAAAAAATAATCTTTTATACGTTCACTATCAGACGTGGTTGAAAGAGCACTGCTGTAAATTTCATTACAAACTTTAAGTGCAAATTCTTTTCTGTCGGATGATAACGAATTAGACATTTCCTTGCCTTGTCAAAAATATTTATTCAAAATAACAATCATTTTGTTAAAAATTCTATATGCGTATTTAATATGCATATTTTTTTTTTAAAAAAATTGTTACGTGATGATCACCACAAAAATAAGATCTATATAAAATTTTTTTTCAAAAACTAAAAAAAATGGCACACTTTATTATGACAATTGAAGATGACGCTGAAATCGAATATGATGATATAGAAGAAGAAGATGATGCAGTAGAACCAACTACTGATCATTCCTTGTATTTTTTAGGATTGAAAGATGATGTAACTATTATTTAGAACCGGCTCATTCATTCGTTCATTCATTCATTGAATGATTCATTGATTGGTTTTTTTAACCGATTAATATTGATTAAATATATATAATTGTTTTGAAATTAAAGGCTCCTAGAAAATCAATTGATGATATTATAGAAGCAAAAAGAAATGATGTTAAAGTCATATTAAAAACGTTAACAGAAGAAGAGGAGGAGGAGGGAGAGGATGATGAGGATGTTGATTATGATGATGATGATGAGGATGATGATGATTACGAGGATGAGGAAAGTGATGAAGATCAGGAAATTAGTGACGAACAGGAGAAAGATGACGATAAAAACGAGAATGAAAGTGACGATGAAAGTGATGATGATAATGATGACGATGATGCGATAATAGTTGAATCAAATAAAGTTGGGAATATAATAAATAACAATTCAAAAAATAAAAATGGTATTAATGTTTCCTCTTCTTGTTTATACAAAAACTCGTCCTAGTTCATTCATTCATTCAAATGTATGCACTGAAACGAGTTAGTATATGAAAGTGTTGTTGATTTTGTTTTAAACCAAATTATTATTATTGTTTTGCTGAAAAGGTTATGCTGATGATGATGAAGAGGACGATGACGATGATGATGATGATGATGATGATGATGATGATGATGATGATGATGATGATGATGATGATGATGATCAAAATAAAATGAGTATTGATGAGGACGAGGATGAAGACGAAGATCAGGATATAGGTAGGTAATTAATTAAAAATTAAAATTAAAATAAAAACTTTTTATTCGTAATTTTTAAAAAACAATCTTATACATAAATCTAGATATTTTTGGCGGAGGAGTTAAATATGGAATGTTGGAAAAAAATGATGAAGACGATGAAAGTAGTGATGATAGTAATGACCACAATAGTGAAGATGGTGTTGATGATGATGAATCTGAGACAGCAATAAAAAATAAAACCAAGAATTCAAAAAAAGAAAATGTTGATAGTAGTGATAGTAGTGATGAAGATGATGAATTTGAGAAAGAGGTAAAATAATATTGCTGCTATTTTATTTTTTTTTTTTTTCACCCACTAATTTATTTATTATTGACACATTGTACCCGAAAAAAAAAAGAAAAGATTGATTACTAATTGAATCGATTAATTCTTTCCCCCTCTATTGTAATGGAACTTAGCGCAAGAAAGAATACTTTTCAGAACGAAATGATTTTCTAAAAGACACTGAGCCGGTTGACTCTTTCCAGACAATGAATTTGTCAAGACCAATTCTAAAAGGTCTAAGCCAACTGGGATTTGTTGAACCAACTCCCATACAAAAACAATCCATTCCCATAGCACTAATGGGCAAAGATATTTGTGGTGGTGCGATCACTGGTTCTGGAAAAACTGTCGCTTTTCTTGTTCCGGTACTGGAACGTTTATTGTATCGTCCTAGACAAATGCCTACGGTTAGAGTGCTTGTTATAATACCTACTCGTGAATTGGGTATACAGTGTCATAGTGTTGCAACTAAACTTGCCAAATTTATTGACATTAATATTTGCTTATGTGTTGGTATTTATTAAAAGTTTTTTTTTATTTTTTTTGTTTTTTTTTTTTTTACAAGAAAATAATTTTTTTTGTTTATACAGGCGGTTTAAATCTTAAAAAACAAGAAAATGAATTGAAAAAACGTCCGGATATTGTAATTGCAACACCTGGCAGGCTTATCGATCATGTAAGAAATTCACCTTCATTCACTCTAGAAACAATCGAAATATTAATCTTGGACGAAGCAGATAGGTGATTAACTAGTATTATTTATTTATTTATTTATTTATTTATTCAATTTTTTAAAATGCTATTTATTAATCTTCAATTTCCACGTTGCCTCGCCTTCCTTAACAAGAATGTTGGAAGATGGATTTGCAGATGAGCTAAATGAAATCATTAAAAATTGCCCAAAATCACGTCAAACAATGTTATTTTCTGCTACAATGACTGACAACATTGACCAACTTATTAAACTATCGTTAAGTAAGCCTGTACGATTGATGGTTGACAGCGCAAAATCTACATCAAAAAATCTAGTCCATGAATTTATTAGAATAAGACAAAACAAAGAAAATGATAAAGCACCAATATTGTTATTGTTGTGTTCTCGAATATTTAAGAGCAAGGTTATTGTTTTTTTCAAAAGTAAAGCATTGGCTCATGAAATGAAAATTATTTTTGGATTATTTGGGTTAAAAGCGTCAGAGTTACATGGTGGTTTAACTCAAGAACAGGTACACACTTGATAATAATAATAATAATAACAATAATAATAATAAAGAAAAAAATAAATATTTAAATTATTTCATTTGCAATTTTTTTTTATAGAGACTTGTTGCACTTGAATTATTTAGAAATGGTGAAGTTGATTTTCTACTAGCAACAGATTTGGCCTCGAGAGGTCTAGATATTAAAGGTATAGAAACCGTAATAAATCATGATATTCCGAATAGTTATCAACATTATGTACATAGAGTCGGAAGAACTGCTCGTGCTGGTCGTAATGGACAGTAAGTTTTCTTTGATGATAGAATTTTTGAAAATTTTTTTCAACGTGGAGTTTATCTTTCATTGGTTTGATTCATTCGCTCCTTCCCCAATTAATCATATTCCCTCTCTTACTTTATGCTTTATTTCAAATAGTTCGGTTACGTTAACATGCGAATCAGACAGAAAACTATTAAAGCAAATAATAAAACATACGATAAAAGATCAAATCAGACGACGAACAGTTGATGCAAAATCTGTACAGGAACTTGGTGAAAAATTGAAGCAATTAAAATCAAAAATCAATGAAGTATTGAAAGAAGAGAAAGAGGAAAAAGTTATTCGACAAACTGAAATGGAAATACAAAAAAGTGAAAATATTTTGGAGCATGGTTCGGAAATATTTAGTAGGCCGGCTAGAACTTGGTTCAAATCTGAGAAAGGAAATAATAATAATAATAATAATAATAATAAAAATAACAAAAATAATAAAAATAATATAATAAATAATAAAAATAATAATAATAACAACAACAAAAAATTTGGAATAAATAATAATAATAACAAAAAAATTGGAATCAATAACAATAACAAGAAGAAAAGAAAAAGAGATCCTAAAGACTTTTAAATTATTTTATTTCGTTTTAGATAATGATTAATTTTTCTATCATTTAATTAATTGTTTTTTTTTTTTTAAAATTAAAATAACAATTACAATAAATGGATTTCCATTTATTTATCCTTTTTAGTTTCCTTTTCTGCTTCTTGATTTTCTAATTGTTTTTTACCATCGTCATCACCAACTTGACCATATTCATTTGCTCGTTTATCATCAGTAGGATAAGCCCATCGTTGATAAAGATAAACAAAGAATATCACATCATCTCTTAAACACGCTAGCCTATGCAATGTTGGCATTTTTATACAAAAGGCAAACAAATCATCAACAAATGTTCCAAGCGTTTTATACATTAAAGTTTTCCATGGCATATGTGCAACCTAAAAAAAAATCAAACAATATCAGTCAGCATCTTTTTTAAGTTAAGCCGCCAATGGATAATATATATGAATAAAATCACTTACGCTTTTAAGTTTATAATTAATAAATAATTGTGGTGTCATCATAATAAATCCAAATGCATAAACGAATCCAACGAGTGTCTTCAATATAAACGAGTACCAACTCTTATGTGAATCATATAACAAGCTATAAATAGCATAACCAAATAGTAAAGGATATGCCAACCATGATAAATAGCGAAATGCTATTTGATCATATTCTTTGGTTTTTGCTTCTGTTTCTGATAATTTATGTTTATCAACAAATTTTATCGAATATGGCATGAATTTATTTTGTGTGGGCTTAATCTTTAAATATTTAAATAAAACAAAATATTAAATGAAATACCAAATAATTTTGAATTTTGAATGTGTAGAAAACAAAATCTTGTTTTACCTCAACATCAATGGCTTTCTTAATCTTCCATACTTCGATAGCAACAGATACACCTTGACCAATTAATATCATCCAACTTGTATCTTGATTATTGTCGATTAAATACAAAAATATTACTAATTGGAAAAAAATATTTGATAAAATAGTTCTGACTGATACTCCAGTCAACTCCTTTTTATTCTTCCAATGAGAAATATCTATTTAAATGATTGTATTTTTGTTATCAGATATTTTATTCGTTCAGATAATATAATTAAATAAATTAAATAATCACCATTTTTAAAAGCCAAGAATTCAAAAATACTATGTAAAATAGAAACCGTAAAGGTCACTCCTAATAGAATAGGGTTAGTTTCCTTAAACATTCTCTTTATCTCATCAAATTCACTATTTGCATCAGCTCCCATGAACTCCGCCTGTCGTTGGAATGATTCGTCCATTTGTACGTAAACTTGAAATTTAAAAAATGATATTGGATAATATTTTATAGTCAAAGGCAATGTTCTAAATTCACACCATCAAATAATACATAAATTTAACAAGTAAATATTTTTGTTCCTATTATTTGCTTGCGAGAAAACAAACAAATAATCTTTCTCCTAATATGCCAATAATTAATTAATCGGAATTTAAACATACTTGACAGTTTCATTGATTGGTGACAAATGATCTTTTAAAATCCAGAAATCATTTATAAATAATATTGGAAGATATTGACTAGGTTTTATTGGATCAAGTTGAACAACTAAAAAAATTCCAACATGAAAATCATTGATTTGTTATGATTACTTGTTAAAAATTGTCGTTATTAAAATTATGACTTACGTGGTTTAATCGCTGGAGGTAATTGAGTATATGGAACTACTGCATCATCAGATACAATATTTAAAGTTAAATTTTGAGCCCAATATGAAACAATTGGTGTTTCTTTAGAATCTATCTAAATATATGCGTAAATTTAAATAAATATGTGTTTATATAAAATACACTCATTGGTTAAATAAACCGAGAGACTTTATAATGCCTTTCTTAAAAATGTTAAATCTCCCCTTACTTGTTCAATCTCTGTATCATTTTCGTTTTCTTCTTCATCACCATCAACACTACCACCAATAAGATTTTTCGTTTTTATTATTTTACGTTTAGGATGATATCTTGTAATGACTATACTCGCAAATATAATATTAGTAAATAAATTCACAATTCCTTATATCTATCTCTTGAATAAGAAAATTACCCTTTTTTTTATAAACGCTCATATTATTTTGAAAGGCTGGGTGATTAGGATTAGGTGGAGATTTATCAAGTGTGAGATAAATATGAGCGTAAAGTGTACCATTATTTTGAACATTCTGTATTTAATAAACAAATTATTGTTATTGTTATTGTTATTGTTATTATTCTAACTTCATTCCTTTTAAAGCCACAAATCAATCAATCAAATAAATTACTTTGGAAGGCGTGATTTCAACAAATTTTTCTATTTCATCATCCCAATCTCCAAAAACAATATTTTTTTCATGTAAAACTAATGCTAATGCATCATCAAATTTACTGAATTCCTCATCTTCTGATATATAAACACGTAATTCCTAAAAAAATAATTGATAAAATCAATCAATCAATCAATCAATCAATCAATCAATTAATTTATTTGTCGTTAATTTAATGAATTTACCATATTCGAACCTAAGGGCCATGATTGAGTTATTTTAGACAAACTTGGTAAACTTTTACCACCAACATTTGAATAATAGTCATTTGTTGCAGTATCAGGTTGTTTAGTAGAGCCTAAGTAAATAATAATAAAAATCAACACTAAATAATTTGAAATTTGAGAGCAGATTTTTTTGAAAAATATAACAATAATGCCTACCTCCAAAGAAATATGAGAAAATATAATATATAACTATTGCACGAAATATAAATTGAGAAATACTTTGAAACATGGATTCTTGCTGTTGTTGTTGTTGTTGAGGAGGTTGTTGAGCAATTTGTTGTTCTCCATTAATGCCATCATTACTATTTGTGTTGTTGTTATTATCGTTATTGGAATTTGATCTAGTTGATTGGACATTATTTGAAGACTGAGCATTGCCGATTTTTTTAGATCGGTCTGTTGTAGAAGAAGACATATATAAAGTTTTAAACTTAAAATATTTAAATATATAATATTTTTAATTACTAATTTTTACCAGAAAATTTTATCTGAATTATATGCAATGTTTGTTGCACACATACGTCATATATATCAAGATGGATTTGATCTACATCAGGATTTATAATGTTGTTTCCAAATATTTTTCTTTATTAAAAAAAAAAAAATCATTACATTATACATATTTCATATATGACATATTATTACTATTACAAATGAAATTAATAATGTCAAAATTTTAATTTTTCATTAAATTAAAAACTAAATTTAATGTTTCTTCTATATATTAAATTTCCCGATGTCCGTCCCACCAAGCACTTCTACTCGTTTCCTTTCCCACCATTGTTGCGACTATCGCAACTAACTTCATTATAATATAAAGAATTATAATATACCTCCAGCTTATTTTAAACGTTTTAATATTACAAATTGAGCTTCAGAGCTCCAAAACCTTTCCTTTTTTATTCTCATCATAATCAAATATATGCTGCCCTTTTTCCACTTTTCAGCATAAAGGAAGGAACTAAATCCCCCTTCTGTTATACTCCGTTACATTTTTTCTTTTTAAAAAAAAAAAAAAGAAAAGTTTGGATTGTTGAATAAACTTATCAAAAACAACACCATCTGCAACGGGAGTTTTGACGTCGTTGTAGTTGCAAACTAGTACAATTTTCAAATATTCATATGAATATTTGCATTGATAAAATTACAATATTCTTATATGCAACGACAAAAATTTATTGTTTTCCCCCAAATAATTATTATTTTTTTTTTTTTTTTTGAAAAAAAAAAGAGAAGGAAAAATTTCCTTGCAGTAAATATTCATTGTTACGGCAATAAATATACAAGTAATAGTGTTGTACAAATAAAAAATTTCCGGTTCGAGTGATTCGTGTAACTAATAATAATAAATTAATTAAAATTTACGTTTGGCCTTTATGGAAGACAATTGTTTAAAGAATTCATCCCACAACTCATAATCATAACTTTCGGTGGTTGTGGCTAGTTCTGAAGATAATTTTATTAATCTAGCTAGACCAACTGGTTTCAAAATCACTTTATTTTCAAATGCATTTTTTAAAATGCTTTTTGCAGTTTCCAAATCACAAAGATGTTGACATGATGTTATCAACAATTCAATGGTTTCAGAATTTTGTATTATCTTGGAATTTTTGAATTTCTGGTTGTATATTTCAATTGATTTGTTGTATTGAAAGCTTAAGTTGTTGAGAGATATCAGACTATTGTAACTGGTAACGTTGATATTAAGATCAGGATATTTTTCTATCACTTGATTATAATATTCTGCGCCTAAATCAAATCGTCTTGATTTAAAACATAAACTAAAAATATTATCTAGAACAAAATTTGTTACTGGTAATGTTATATTAGTTGTTGTTGTTGTTGTTGTTGTTTGAATTTTACCAAATCCATAAATACTGTCAACAATTTCAAATGCTTCAGATGTATAACCTGAATTGTTATAAGTTTGGATTATACCGCACACCAAATCGTTGTCAATAACCACGGATCCATCATCATTTGATTTTTGTTTTTTAATTAACTTTTCCCAAATATCTTTTGCTATTTCATAAAACTTTTCTGATTCATTTATATTACTAATTGAACCTATTTTCATCAAGTATAAATAAGTATCTCTATTTTCTTTCACTTTCTTGTTACCTTTAATCAAATTATCGTAAGTATCTAATGCAAGTTGGAAATGTTTTGAGCGATAACAAATTTTCAATAATGAATTTATATGATCAATCTCAAGTTTAATTTCAGGTCTTGATTCACTAGATTGAACTAGCTGTTTTATTAATGATGTGGCATATTCTACTAATTGAGGAGAAATACGATAATCGGCAAGTCCGTTTAATATAGTTGTGAATGTTCCTTTGGTAAAAGGAAGCGAAAGTCTTTTCATCTACTCAAAATAAAAAATTATTTATATATTATTTAATAAAGAGAATTATAATATTTTGATTAACTCATGTAACTTCACCTCATCAAATAATCTAACGGCCATTTTAGCTCTTCCTTTATCAACACATTCCATTATCAATTGATCCCAAGCTTCCCCAGTTTTGAATTCTAGATTTTCTTCACTTTTTACCAATTTGATAGCATCGTTTAACCTCTCTTCTTCGCTAAGTTGAATGACTTTTTCTTTAAGAGTTTCGAATTTTTCTTTTGACTTAGAAAGTGTATCTGTTATTGTGTTTCTACTATTATCATTATAGTTACTATCGCTACTATTTTTATTATTTCTACTATTATCATATCTATTTTTTTTGATGTAAAAGTAATCATTATTTAAACCATAAGGCTTCTTGGGTGTTATTGATGAATTTGATGTTGTTAACGATGATGTTATAAATAAACGTGATACTAGGGTTTTAGTTTTTTTATTACTAGTGTTATGTAATAATAATTTCCTGGAAAATCTTATTAAAGACATTTTTTAATCAAAAAAATTTAAAGTTGTACAAAAATAAAATCAATGCTGAGTACCACCAATTAATTTACTCCATATTCATTGGATAATAATTGAACTAGGATAAATCAATAACAATAAAGAATATTTTTGGCGTTGTAAAAGTCAACAAATTTAAATTTTTTTATTGCTTAGTATTTTTTCATATTAACAGTTAGCGCGTATCTGATATCAATATTAATATTAAGCATTTGCAAGCTTTTTTCTATAAAAATAAAGTTATTAAGCTTTGTCATACATAAAAAATTTATATACATAGTTTCATAGTTTCAAAGTAATATAATTAATTACAGCCACATTTTCATTTTATCATATAAAAATCAGAAAATAATTAAATACACGTACTCACAACACTATGAATCAATATTCTATTAGTGAGAATAGTCCTTTTATAATAGATGATGAAGAAGAGAATGAGGAATCTATATCACTCCAACCAGTAAATTTTGGTAGACAAAGAGATGATGATAATGATGACACAGAAGACGATAGTAATAGTCTGAACAATAATAGCAGTAATAATAATAATGATGGTGATACAGCACCATTATTGCCTTCTACTGATTCTAGTAGTAGCGAGTTTATAAAGGAAAGTTCTAGATTGGCAGCGTTACCAAAAGATACGTTACATATTGTATCACTAGAGCATGATGGTGTTGGTTTATTAAAAATGCCTAATGATGGTGGTTCTTTTTTTGAAAGTTTTCTAAATATGGCAAACAGTATTATAGGAGCTGGTAAATTTTAATTAAACATTAGATTGTGATTGTTTGATATTTGTATTTAATGGTAATAATTATAAGTAGATCAAACCTTCTCACCTCCTTCATTCTCCCATCCTTTCTCATCCTTCTTTCTCAATAGGTATAATTGGTTAGTATTTCATTTTCATCTTTCCTAAAATCTTGATTATAAAATTTATTATTAATAAAAAATATAATAATAATGATAAATATAATTATATATAGGATTGCCATTTGCATTTCGGGAGGCGGGAGTTTTTACAGGAATAATATTATTGGTAGTGCTTACAATTGTAGTTGACTGGACGATAAGACTATTAGTTTATAATTCTAAATTATCAGGAAGAAATTCATATCAAGATGTAGTGTATTTTTGTTTTGGAAAAGGTGGCCATATTTCAATATCTTTATTCCAATTAGCATTTGCATTTGGTGGAGCCTTTAATTTCAAAACAATTATATATATTTAATCAATATTAATCGGTTAAAAAAACCAATCAAACTCATAAATAAATAAACCCAATTTCATTTTCTAATGACAAATATTTTAAAGAAAGAAATCGTAGAGAAAGAAATTGTAGATGATACGTTATTCATTTAATTATATATAAATACAATCTATTTTCTTTTTTATTAATCTCTAACACAATTAATTATTCATAAAAAAATTTAAAAATTAAAAAAATTAAAAATAAAAAAATTAAAATTAAAAAATAGTCGATCTTTTCAACTTTCTATCAAGTCAATTGTTAAAAAACATGTTTTATATAACCACTTCAAATAGAGTTGAGGTCAAGGTCATTCATTCATTACTTTTCAAATCTTTTGACTTGATAATTTCATCGTCTAATATTCTACTTTTATGATATGCATTTGGATGTGATTTATATACTGGTTTTAACCTACCACCACCATCACCATTAAGGTCAACTTCATTTTTTTTCTTTTTGGAAAATTTAAATATTTTTTTAAATAATTTGTTGGAGTCTTTTTTATTGGCGGCAGCATTCAAATTGTTGGTTCTAGGATGTTCGCTCAATCTATCATTATTATTAACAAATTCTAAAAGATCTTGAATGTTCGGTCTTTTTGATGGATCCGCGTCCCAACATCTCTGCATCATCTCTGCATAATCACCGGGTGTTCCTGGTAATAATGGTGGTCGAATGCCTTCACAAACATCAAAAATTAAATGATAATTATGAGGTCTCTTATCAAACGGTGGGTAGCTGGCAAATATTTCCCACATTAACATTCCAACACTATAAATGTCCGACTCTTTTGTGTTCTTTGTATTCTTTTGGCCGTCAAGTAGCTCGGGCGCAAGGTATGGTATAATTCCATACGTTTTATTTGATAATTCTTCTTCAACTGGTCCGCATAATCCTAAATCTGCGATATAACAATTACCTCCCTCCATCAATACATTACCACTATGTAAATCACCATGAATTAAATCTTTATCATGTATTTGATATAATGCTCTACATAGATATTTAAAAATTGTAATTCTATTTTTTAATGTTAAAATCAAATGGTTTTTTTGCAAATAATTTCTTAGATTTCCTTCTGGCACATAATTTAAAACCATTGCATAATTTCCACTTTCTGGAAATTTGGTTATGCCATAACAAGGAACAATCATTATTGACCTGATTTTAGAATAACTCAACGCCTATAAATATGGATGTATGGATATATATATGTATGTGTGTATGTATGTATGTTGCAAGATTAACTTATTTATAATATTACTACCAACCTTTTCAAAAAATTGTTTCCCTGGACCACTTGAATTATTTAAAGATTTTAATGCTACGTATTGTGCTCCAACATATCTAAATTTCTCTTCTTCTTCATCGTAATCAACAATCCCGCCTCTTGTCCATGTGGCAGTATATACTGAACTAAATCCACCTTTTTTCAACATCTTTGCATCTTTAAATTGCTCGTAAGGTATCCACTCTAGAATCTGAGTTGGGATGGATGAATTTATTTGACACTGCCGAATAAAATTATCTACAATCTCACTTCCTGACGTCCAACTCTTAAAAAGACTTTGCAAGTGCAGTCTGATACACTTTTCACAAAATCTATCAGAGTATCTCGTTGATTTACATTTATTACATTCTCTTGATTTACCCGAATTTTGCAACGCAATACTCAACTCAAAATCATAAAGAAATTTTTCTTTGCAATATCGTTTCTCAGCTTCAGAAAGTTTTTTGTTTTTTTTTACTGATTGTAAAAAATAATCTTTTATACGTTCACTATCAGACGTGGTTGAAAGAGCACTGCTGTAAATTTCATTACAAACTTTAAGTGCAAATTCTTTTCTGTCGGATGATAACGAATTAGACATTTCCTTGCCTTGTCAAAAATATTTATTCAAAATAACAATCATTTTGTTAAAAATTCTATATGCGTATTTAATATGCATATTTTTTTTTTAAAAAAATTGTTACGTGATGATCACCACAAAAATAAGATCTATATAAAATTTTTTTTCAAAAACTAAAAAAAATGGCACACTTTATTATGACAATTGAAGATGACGCTGAAATCGAATATGATGATATAGAAGAAGAAGATGATGATGATGATGATGATGATGATGAAGAAGAATCGATGGTTTTAATTATTAATAAAATAAATAAATAATTTAATTCGTGGAACCCGTATATTATCAGATCAAACCACTAAAATAAAGATGCAAGTGTATGAACACACGTCAATAATACGACATACGTTATGGTAAGGTGAACAATTGCTTATGATTGATGTAATTCTTGGATTGTTTGCGCTCTTAGTTTACGGTCGGCGCTCGATATAGTGAGGCTTCTTTGTATGGTACGATTATTTATATGACACAAAATAGGAAGTTCTCGCTCTTTGCTATTACTATGCTGTATTTAGTTTAACCCCAAATTTAATTTAATTTTTAATCTTTTAATTTTCTACATTTCTACCAAAACATTTAGTAGATCTTTTCGTTATGATTTTTTTTTTGGGAATAATAATATGCAGTGTATCTATATTTCTTATTCAGTGTACATTTTTAGACAACTTGTTATTCCTAAATTCACCCAATCATTTGATTTATTTTACCAATTCGTTTCGTCGCAGAATTCATTTTGTGTTCATGTGCTCGCTTTCAGCACTGAAAAAAATCTATTTTTAAATAATTTACTCTTCCAAAAGAAAACTTTTTTTTATAAATTTAGAAACAAATAAGGAGAGAAAAAAATGTTGATACTAATACGAATGTGAAAAGCGAAAAAAAAAAAAAAAATACAAAATTTAATAAGTATAAACTGAGTTATCTGATATGGTAAACAATAATCTAAAATGTTTGAACTAATGTAATTGACCAAGCCTAACGTTGTGCAAAGAACTACAAAGCGAAACGGCGGTAAGCATATTAAGACATATTAGTGATGAAAAGATAAAAATAAAATAATGGCAATTAATAAATGTGTATATTAATTCGCCCGAGCGGCGAGGAAAAAATTTTCAAAAAAAATTTCAGAAATACAAAGAATCAATTCATTTTTTCATATTCATAATAGGAAAAAACCCGGATTGCGCCCTTTTGATAATTAAAGCAATTCTATTAGAAAATACAAATACGGATAAGAGTAGATTGCCTAAATTCATTTTTTTTTTTTTTTTTCTG